AAAATAAATTACTTGATTTTATTAGATAAATACCAAATTATGAGCAGATGTAAGCAACATAACATCTCCTAAACCTTGTCCCAATATGGGATGCAATTGTTCGTTGTTTTGAAGCCTCACTCCGGGTGCTGCTGGTTAACCTATTTTTTTTTACCTTATGTTCTTCCCGTCCTTTTTAGGATGAAATTTTTCATTATTTGAAGCCCTACTCTGGCTCTTGCCAGGGGCCGCAATATAGCTCGGCCATAAATATGGCCTAATGGCTGAACGCGGTTTCTGGGACTTCTCCATGTTGATCCTCATCCACATTGTGGCAATTTGTGTCATCTGGTGTTTATCGCTTGTGTGATGTCCTAGTGGGGTAACAATCTACTACTACTACTACCACTGCTGGTGGTAAATATCCAGTCATCTCCTTGTGAGATGCAATTTTTCGGTATTTGAAGCCCCACCCTGGCTCTTACCAGGGGCTACAATATAGCCCGACTATAAATATGGTCTAAAGCTGGGTGCCTAATATAAACCAACTTATGGGTTGAACGGGGTTTCGGGGACCTCTCCACAAGTGATCCTCATCCGCAAGGTGGCAAATTTGTGTCATTGGGTGTTTATTGCTTGTGTGATGTCCTGGTGGGGTAAAATGTACTACTACTAACTGTCCAAATATGGGACACAGTTGTCCGTTATTTTAAAACCTCACTTTTGCTTTTGCTAAGGGCCCTAACATAACCCATCCTATTGGTTAAACAGGTAACTATGGGTTTGGGCCAGCTTTTGGGTCTGTTTGCCTTGATCGTATTAACACTGCATGAGTCCTTTTCAGGGCTTCTGGAAGCGTGCAATGCTAGACCATTTTAAATGGAGCACATAACCTAGTCACAATTATAACTGAAAGCTTCCCCTTCAGGGATACTGGTTTACATCATGATTTTGTTCTTTCTACAAAACTGTTGATTGTGATCATGATAATAGCTTCACCCCAATATGGAACACAATTTGATTATATTTTAAAGCCCAGACCTCGGCTGTCATTGGGAGCTGTAATATAATGTAACGGTTGAACAGGGTTTCTGGGCTTTTTGCCAGGGTGATTCTCATTCGAATGGTTGCACTTGGTTTCATCGGGTATTTATCGGTCGTTGTGCAGTCCTAGTGGAATAGAAAATAACTCACTCACCCCTATTTAATATACTTCGCAACAATATGGGACGCAATTTTTTTATGTATCAAGGCCCTAACCTGGCTGTCATCTGCATAATGTCTGCTTTACCTTATATGACTCATTCTGTGGCTATGTTAGCGCAGTCGATAGAAGACTCGCTTTCAAATTCAGCTGCAATTCGCGGCAGCTCATGGCCGGTGTTTAAAGCCGGGCCGTTCCCGGGGTTCACCCAGCCTCTAGGTAATGGGTACCAGAGTTAACACTCTGGGGTATATGGAGGAATGTCGCTGTAGCTACGGAGTTTCGTGCGGACGGTGACACAGGCAGTTTCTTATCAGCTGTCCTTACTGGTGGCAGATCCCATATGGTTTATAACCGTGTGCAATGGCGCTGGTTCACATCTCCCAACTTTACTTTTTTTTTTTTAAACCTTTTTATATGACTCTTCCTACCTCTGTTGCCTTTGTAGGCTAAAAATCCACTCTTTTATTAGCTCACATTTCTGCATTACCTGGGAAGTATATTTATGTAAGTCATTGCATAGTTGTGATCTATGCTTGGTATTGCTTTTAAACCCATTTAAATAACTGCAAACTTACAGTATAATACTAATATGAAACTTCTACAGAATAGAGTTTAAAAATTATCTATACATGTAACAGGGAATTTCTTGGTGCTTTCTGGGAAATATGGCATGGCCACACTGAGGCTCATTATGACAAATGTTTTATGTGCACATAAAGATGGTCCACCAAGCTTAGATGCTTACACATTCTCATTTCCTAAGTCTCTTGATAATAACACACACTCTCTTTCTCTGTTTCTTGATGTCTCTCCCCCTCTCTGTCTGTCTGTCTGTCTGTCTGTCTGTCTGTCTGTCTGTCTGTCTGTCTGTCTGTCTGTCTGTCTGTCTCTCTCTCTCTCTCTCTCTCTCTCTCTCTCTCTCATTTGCTCCCCTCACAGCCTCATAACTGATTTGGTCTCACAAATTCTTCCTTTATTGATTCTCATTCAGTAACTGATTCTGTTTGTCTGTCTTTGTATTACAGTATGTCTGTCTTTTTCTTTATCACCTTGACTGCATCTGACACCTCCCATTCAATTATCAAGTTCAGGTCAAAATACTGGTATAATGTCTTTTTATTGTTCACATTATTAATTAGACATTTTTTTTTTAAACAGCAGTGAATTGCCTTTTCTTTACAGGATGTTGCAAAACTAAACCCAGCATTTTTTTTTTAACTTTATGGTAAGCTCTTGATACCATTGTCAAAACCAAGGCCTAACTGTCTGTTGCCTAATCACTCGCAGCTGGGATTAAACTAGGCACCTCAGAATTAGGAAGTCTGTTTGCTCACATCTAACTAAAATTAAAATGTCAACAGTAAGAACTTTATGACAATTTTAAATGCTGAAATGCACAAAAAACACAGTATTGAAGATAAACTAGTTTACAGATAAAGCATAATAAAGTAACAAATTTCTGTCATGTTTAAAAAAACAACAGCAACTGTCCTAACAAAACTATTATGCTACAAAGCTACATTACTAAATACTCTTTGCATTGTTTACAAAAAAACACTGAAGAAACAAAGTTGACTAAAAACAACCAAGCTGGCAAATTTCATATCTGGACTTATATAAACTATCTGAAAACAGTTATAGTCTGCCACATTCTCTTTACAGCTTTATAAAGCATTCCCTTAATAAAATTATAGTTTTTGAGGAAAACAAGTGCACAGTAATCTTTGTATTAACATTAAGGTCACAGTAATTTCTTAATAAAAAGTAATAAATGTAACAAGTTTGAATTACAGAACAGAAAAGTTCAGATGTAACGAAAATTATGTGTGTGTTTTTCCCCCAAAATACATATGTGACAGTGAACATTCACAGCTGTCCTGGCTCAGTTGTTACTAGTGAGAGGATTATATATTGTTTTTTTTATTCTTAACAACACACCTCAGGGGTCAGCCCAGCCTCAGTAAGATAGTAATAGACAGTGTCCAGAATGGTTTTTCCTAATTACTCTTTCTGGACTGAAACTTTAAGATTTGACATCCAATGACTCAAAGAGCCACTTTTTGGATGCCATGCAAATAAAAGCGAATCTGATACATTCTGTTAAAAAGTATTAAACAGTTATTTGGCAGTACTCTGTGGCTACACGAAGCAGCATGCTGGGGGCAATTGTTAGTATTACTACTACTGTTACCTATTTGATTATATGCAAGATTATCTGACCCTGTACCCTTACAGATAACTGGTGAGTGTTCGTAAAAGGGAAAGTAAATGTAAAGGCATGCAGACCAACTGGCTAGCATTGCACTAAGGCATATGGAAAGAAGCATGGACAGAGCAGATATCGTCAACGCTGTACGGAGTGAGCTAGTGGATAATAAGGAATTCCTGACATTAACACGATTTGTGACATAGGAGTAAAGAATGGTGAAGCACGTCTATGCGGTCTTCTAAGATGAGATAGGAGAAAATATAACCAGCTTCTCATGGCAACAATTAGTAGAAGTACTTTGGAGTGGCTGCTCGGAGGACTGAGCACGCATGGGAATGCCTAATGTGCAGTGACGTCGACTGTGATAACATTACATAACAGATAACTGACATTCCTCCCTGTGTGAATTCCAGCGCCTCTTTGTAAAGGAAAAAAAATTATACCCATGGCCTCCCTAACAAGCATGTCATAAGAGTTTATTAAAAAGAGTGTTTCCTTTAAAGTCAGAGTGCATCTGTCTGAGAGGTTAGCAACCAACAATATGCATTCAAATAATCCAGATCTGAAAAATAGATGCACCCATAAAACTTAAGTCTTCAAACAAGACTAAAGTCCAGAAGTGGATGAACAAGCAGACATTTTTTCCGGAGTTTACAGCCAGTGAATAAAAAGCAAAATTAAAAAACTGACATTCCAAAAATATAAAACTGACCAGCTTGTCATGAAATAATTGTATTAGCACTTACAAGAGATAAAATATTTATAAAAACTCAAAAACTAGGTATATTTATAATCAAGCATAGCGCCAATTTCCAAGAGATTATATGTTGCTATATACAAGGCTCTGGATGTTGAGTTATACTCGTTTAAGTAAAACGAATTGAGTAAGTGATGTTTCATATTGTGTAGGCAGCTTTATAGGAATTTGTGGGTGACAATTAAGCTCACACTGTGATGTCTTCTTTAAGAAATGAAAATAGGAAAGTGAGTGAAGTTCAACCCCAGCAGGTTGCATGATGAGCAACAAACACCAGTAACACAAAGTACCACCATTCGGATGAGAATCACCCAGATGCAAGTCCCAAAAACCTTCTTCAACCTTAAGGTTATATTAAGGGCCCCCGGTTACAGACATTGTGGAGCTTTAAAATAATGAAAAATTGTGTCCCACATTAGCAGGGGAATTAAAGATTAAAAAAAACAAAATGCTGGAATAACAGCAGATAATAATATCTAATTTGTATCATTAAGATATACTTTGAACATAAATTTATTTTCCCAAAATGGTGAATTTCCAAGGCAATTACATTTGTAGCTTTAAATAGTAAAGAGTCCACCACCTTGTACAGTACTATTTTGTAGCATAACCTATATGCACCATTTAAGACATTCCATCTTGTTTTGCTAAGTTTACTAAATAACCATGTAATGGTTTTATTGGGTTTTTTTTTTAGTTATTCCCCTGTTTCATGACTTATGTGTACAGTGTGATCTTGTGTTCTTGATGTCATTTCATCACCATTCCCATGTTACCTTTTACCTAATAAGATATTTTTTTGTTCTAATTGACTGACAGAGCCACCTAATTACTCTCTTTTAGTCTGCTTAACAATCTTCCTTCCACATTTTGAGAAACTCCTCAAAGTTGATCTTGCCATCTTGGTCCTTGTCCACACTGGCGATGTATTTCTCTGCCTTTCCTTTCCTGCCGTGCTGGGTCAAAAGTGCCTGCAGCTCATCAACACTAATTCTACCAGACTTATCTTTGTCAATTTTTTGGAACAGTGCCCGCAGTTCACTTTCCCTGTTTTAGAGATAACAAAAATATATTACTAAAAGCACATAAAACAATTTTGACACATTAAAAAACAGGTTTTTCTTCAGTCACAGATGGCTCTTACTTCAAGATCTTTTTCTTCTGTCTTCATGTATGTATGTATGTAGGTATGTATGCATGTGAGTGTAAGTATGTGGTTGTCTGTGTGTGTATTCAGGTATGTATGCAAGTATGTATGTATGTGTGTACAGATGTAGGTGTATGTATAGATGTGTGCATGTATGCATGTGTGTATGTATATATATGTATACATGTGAGTGTAAATGTGTGGCTGTGGGTGTATGTGGGTGTCTGAACATGTGACTGTATGTGTGTGTATGCATGCGTGCATGTATAGGTTTGTACATATGGAATGAATGTGTGTGTGTGTGCATGTATGGGTGTGTGTTTTCTGTTTGTGTATGTATTAGATGCATGTATGTATGTATTAGGTATGTCTGTAAATGAATGTGCATGTATGAGAATGTAAGAGTATATATACGTGTGTGTGAGTGTGTACGATTGTGTACACATGATGTGTGTATGCACTATTATGTAATGCATATTTCTTTATTATATCCATAACATGCATTATTGGTAACAGGCATTGCTACTATGAGTGCTTAGAAGGGCCGAATGTCAGACGGGCATGCATGCCCAATTTGTAACCCTTCGAAAATAAACTTTGTTCGTTCGTTCGTTCACCCTTAAAAGAACAGATGGCATGTTATGGTAGAAGAAGTAAGGGTCTCACATCTCCTTTGATAGATGATACCCCTAACTTGCAGTGCTGAAGTTGTTAGCATACTTATAAGCCCACAGTTATAAGCTTCAATCTCCAATTACTCGGATTCTTAAAATTTGCCTGAGCTCCTAGGTCGAGTAAGAATGAAAATGAGTACCAGGAAATGCCATGGACAGTAAAGTTAATACTGAATTTCTGTTGGTCCTTTTTTATATATATTTACAGACACACACACACATATATATATATATATATATACACACACACACACACATATATATATATATATATATACATATATATATACACACACACACACACACACACACACACACACACATATATATATATATATATATATATCAACTTTTTTCCTCTGTGAATAAAAAGAAACGAGGGATCTCTTTGGTAAAATGTTTACACTCTTTGTTTCTTGCTATGGATTATTTATTCAATTTCTTAGTCCAACCTTCATTTAGTGAGTGCAGGTGTATCACTGTTAGAGCTACAGAGTTCAAAGCCTTGTGCACCTGTCTTAGTGGGCAAACAAATGCTTTGCAGATCAGACCACAGAGGCAGAACTGTGTAATTAAGTCACACATTTCAAAAGAAACATTTGAATTTGAAAGCTCATTACACATTACCATTAGGGTTATCCATACCTAAAATGGCTGGTGGGAGCTGCTGTTGTGTAGTGGCCAGATGCTCATCTTTGGTTGTGGGTTGAGGCCCTGGCGGTACCTGAGATGTTTTGAAAATCACCTTGGCTTCCAGGATAAACCAGTCTTGAATGGGTACCAAGTAAAGTCCTGGAAAGCAAAAACGGCCAGCATGATGCTGACCTCATCACCCACTAACTGACGACTGGTCTATAAATATAGGTCTAGCCTTACATGCCCAAAATGCCTGAAGGTGTGTAAAGGGTCCTTTACTTTACTTTTAATACGACAGGTAAAGAAAATAATCAAAGAAAGCAAATATGCTGTAAATGTTCATCACTTACTCAACAGATTTAGGATCTCTCAGGCTCAGATGGTGAAGTAGCTCCTCAAGAGAAATTTTCTTGTCTTTGTTCTTATCAATTGATTCAAACCAGCACTAAAACATTATCATAATAGCAAACATTCAGTTACACTGCAAATTATAACATTAGTAAACAGTGAATTAAACATGTTAAGTTTTTTCTTTCAATGTGTTAAGCATCAGGACAAGGGTGAATACAAAAAAGCAAAAGGAGTTTTCATAGCACTACAAGCATTCATTTGCTGGTGTCTGTGCAGAGCAGTAGAAATTAAATGGTACAACAGATTCACTAATGTTGAGCTTTGGGAGCGAACTAAACAAGTTGCAGTGGAGCAATAGGTGAACAAAAGCTGTTGGTGTTGGATATAGGCTGCGAAAACCTGAGGTCAAAATAACTAAAGTGGCTTTAAACTGGAGCCCACAGGGTCATAGAAATAAAAGCAGACCAAAAAATACATGGAGAAATGAGCTAAAGAATGAAGTTAGGAAGAGAAGAAAATGGGGTAAGCCCATGTCTTAGCAAAGGATAGAATGAATTGGCGTTAGATGGTTGAGGGCTTATGCTCCAGCAGTGGATAATATCGCAGCAAGGGAATAGTTGATCATCCTGTGCTCAATGGGTGGCATTGACTATTGTAATTCTGTATGAATGTGCAATGTCTTTAATGTGGCTAACCCACATTCATCCTGGACATCTTCTTTCTCTTGTATTAGATTTACTGAAGCAGCATACTGCCTGTGTTAATCACTGGTGCAGCTACAATCTAACAGATTTCCAAACCATTTGATCTTCTTTCTTAATTTTCTTTTTAAATATATATGGTTTTGTTCTCATAATGGTGCCATGTGGGTTAGGGGGCCCCATTGTGGGGAAAACAAGAATAGACCCACTGCATTCCCAAGCAGGACATAGGCATCAGCTAAGTTGAAGCTTCCTCTAAAGTCCGCATCTACCCAGGCATCAAGGAACAACCAGATGCACACAAATAAGCTAGTACACACACAACTCAGATCCTGGCACATAGTTAAAGTCCAGATGGGCAGACAACCAGGACTTTCTGCTAGAGCTTACAGAGAGTGAACAAAGAAGAAGTTTCATAATCTGTCTAAAGGTATATTTTCTCATTCAGTCTCAGATGATTACACTGGCTGCTTTCCTCAGGCATCTTATCTTGCAAATGTTGACTTTATTTACTTCCGTTTTTGATTGTGTCAAAACTTGTCAATGGCAGCAGAGTGTTAGCATACATATTTAAGGTATAATTTGTTGCTTTTTATTAATATTGTTATGTTTGACTTTTTGGTAACATTTTCTACTAGAAATTTTGATAAACGTTTAAGATTAAAGCAAGGTATCCATGGTGAAATGGTTAAGACATTAGTCATGTGAACACAGAACAGGTGGCATCAGTGATTTTTTATTTGTAGAGCTAGTGAGGATAAGATGAAACACTTAAGGATCAATCCAGTGTGGCATAGTGATAGTCCTCACTAAACACCTGTACACTTGTCATTTCCACATCAGTGACATATCATATGTACATCATCAGTAACAACTTACTTGCATAATACTGACAAAGCTTTTTGTACATCCTTGACACCACCACTATAGGCTCTCGAGGCTGAAATCGTCAAACCTAATGCAATGAACATCGTAGGTTTGATCCACAGACACATCATTCAGTTCATGAGTGCAGATTTGGCTGAAAATCCTTTCGGATCATCACTGGAGATAGAGAGTTCATTTTGCAATTCTCTCTGCAAGCAGGTGCTAGCCATTATGCAGAGATAGCTTACGGGTATGGATAATGCTCTGGGCAATAAAGTCGATCCTGTTAACTTCAACTTTGAAACCTCACCTGTCCACCAACAACTCACCTGTACATCATCAGCGGTTCCCCCAAAGCCTGAGTTCAGAAGAACTTGGTAGAGTTCCACGGCTGACAGACACCCACTCTTATCCTTGTCTGCCTTAGTGAAGAAGGTCTTGACATTGTCTTCGAATTGTGGCATTATTGCAGATCAAACTGACAAAGTTTCAGGCTCTGTTGAAATATGTGGTGATCCTGAGAGAGAAGAAATATGAGCATCAACTTAACATTTCTTATATCTGTACAACTAAAGTTGGCTACAGTGTTGCCCCAGTTAGGGAGATTTGGTGGGTGGGGGGGGGGGGGGAATAACAATAGACCCACGCAACCCCTAACAAACATGTCATAATTAGGGACTAATTTAAAGGTTGACTGAAATTAGATGTGCTGGGCAAAAAAATCACATATATCACCTGCTAAATGTAATTCACAACACAATGTGACAGTTGCATTTTTAAGTGTGACTGCAGAAGAAGAAGCTACTGACGTATGAGGTGATCTTGCAAGGAAAACATATGACCATTAATTTCATATTTTCTTGTTTCTGGATGTTGGCTACATACTGTGTACCCCCTGCAGCCTTTGGTAATATTGCAGGTACATAGTGAGACTCTTATCACTCCCACAGTGTGATTCTCATAACACTGTCTGGAATTAGGAAAATGATCTGAATGACTATAGCATAAGATCTAAATGCAGATAAGTGAGCAGTTATGTCTACAGTATCAGTTTTAATTACATCATTATTTTAATCTTTTTTGTTTTTATTTGTTTGTTTATTTTATTTAGCTCTTTATATCCAGACAGTTGTAGCTGAAATACTTTCTGTCACACAATTTGTTGATCTTTAGAGTAACAATCTTTGAATTTCTAGGGGTTAAAATGGCTATCTGACCAAAGGAATTAAAGTGACAACTAAGGACACAGATGCTCAATATAACAAAAACACAAGACAGAAAAACATTAAGAAATTATAGTATCATGTACAAAAACATATAGTAGTTAAATTAAATTTAAGGACATACAAAAATATTAAAGTATGTGGTTGCTAGAAGTTCCCTTAATAAAATATATCACAAAATAAAATTAAAATATCAAATCAAGAGTATTATATTATAATTAAAATTCGTTTAAAAAAAATGTGGGGTAGGGGGAGGGGGAAGGGTGTAGATCATAAGGCAGACAAAGATTGTGTCTAGAAAAGGTTAAATCGGAATAGCTTTTCGACAGCATGAGTGCCATATTATCTTTCCCGCTATTTGATTATGTTAAAAAAAGTGTGTCAGGAAACCGAATGGCGTGAAACCGTACTGAATTTAGAACACATTGATAGGTCCAGGATATGAATCATAGACTGGTTTCGCTTCAGTTGATATGCAGGTCAGCGACTCTGGTAACATACATACACCTATATGTCAGGTGTAGTGTGTAGATCAGCTGTTCTCAACCTTTCTTATACCGCGACCCTTTAATACAGTTCCTCATGGTGTGGTGACTCCCAACCATAATATTATTTTAGTTGCCACTTCATAACTTCAGTTAATATGTATTTCCAATGCTCTTAGGCGATCCATGTGAAAGGGTCATTCGACCCACAAAAGGGTCACAACCCACAGGCTGAGAATCGCTGGAGTAGATGAACATTAATTAATACAGAGTCGACCTTTTACATTTCACCCAAAGGCCAATCTCCAGTGAAAACTCATCTTTTTCAGAATTAAACTAGATAAGAAAAGGGTTGGGTGTTGATCCACGTGAGCAGTTAAATACATCTGTTAGTATATGTCCAAGACTTGCATGTTGAACTGCCGTACATCCGATTTATGCAGGCATTTGTTGACCTTGTTAGCCTTTCCGGGAACAAATCTAGGGTGGTACTAACTAGGGTCGGTGTTCATTAGATGAAAAATAATCAAAGCCGAGTGGAATTACTCGTCGTAGACTAAAGGCATTAAAAGATGTAAATAAATCTTTCAGTTCCAAACAATGATATGTGATGAGCTCATACTTGTGAGTGCCAGCCGTCCAGTTTTGTTATTTAATGTGTGAGTCGCAACCATCACCCCGCGTGTTCTCTGACTTTCTAAACTTGAATAGAACATACTGAAAATATCTGGCTCTCCCCCATGGAAACTACCAATTTCTAAACCAGTCATGCACTTGTGATTTTCCAAAGCAATTATAAATCAAAACCCTAAATCCCTGAAACAAGTATTTAAGGGCCTATGGAATTTTATCGTATCCGGAGCTGTACAAGAAGTATTACAATATCGACGTAGCAGGTTTCGAAGTCACTTGCAAATGACTTGTTAGCAGAGTTTTGTGTCCATTTCGACGATAAATTGGTCTCGTATAGCTACACACACAGTAGCTAATTCTTCTTCTTCTTCTTCACTTCCTCTTTTACCACTGTGGGTGTCGAGGGAAATATAAGGTTCTGTTTCTAGCTCTTCTGGCCGCCTTGATCATAGGCACATCGTGCTGTTGTAGAGTTTCTCTGATGTTATCCTTCCATCTTATTCTTGGTCTATCTCGTGCTCTACGTACTTCTTCTCTGTCCATGTATGCTTTGTATGGTATTGTGTCACAAGGCATTCTGTCTAAGTGGGCAAACCATTTCACTTGCTGTCTTCGTATGTAATTTAGAAATGGTTCTGTGCCGACTTTTTCTCTTATGATCTCATTCCTGATCTTATCTCTTATGGTCACTCCAACAGCCCTTCTCAGACATCTCATTTCCATGGTTACTAATTTTCTTTTACGGTTTGTTGTGAGTGACCATGTCTGGCTAATTCACATCAGCCAAATTATTATGCTGAGATGAGGTGTAAAACAGTATTTTTCCTGCAGACCAAGACAATATGGAAAATATTTTGCGTACATCGAAAAGAAAACCAAATGAAGATGGTATTTTACTCAATAAATTCTGTGTAACAAAATCACAAATTGTAGCTAATGCAATATTTGTAAAATAAAGTTACTCTGTTGTGCTTCTACTTAAAAAATAGACAAATCTGACAACATAACTAAATGACGAGTTCAGATAACATCCATTCAGTTTCTCTTTGGCTCTTATTACATGCATGGCTGAAACATACTGTCTTTTCACACAATTGGAAATCAAAGCGAAAATAAAATGCTAAACAATTTGACAGCCTGAAGTTCAGAAATGGATTTTTACTCGCTCCACAATAATACTACATTTTGGGACGGAAATTTTTCCTGGATCGCCAGAAAATGTCCGCAGACCGGTTTCAGTCCGCGTACCACGGGTTGAAGGACATGGTAGTAAAGGACATGCAAATAACAAATTTTTTTTTTTTTTTTTTGGAAAAGGGGGGGGGGGCGTTCAGCATCTAGGCTAGTAACCGGAGAAATAAAAGCTGTTAAAAAAGACTTCCGGATCTTAAATATGTTAAATTCTGCATAAAATAAAAGTATGAATGTGATTCGTTAATACTCCTGCCAGGACACAATTTTTAAACTATCTAAACCTTCCCTGAATTACTACGCTCTTAGGCCGTGGTATCTTTGAGCTAATCAATGGTTTCTTATCTCGCATGGGTGATTTTTCTTGTATAGTTTTGCCGTGCTGGCGAACTTCAAACATTCATAAATGGGCCTTATTTATTTAAAAAAAAAAAAAAACTCTAGGATATGACAAACGAGACTGGTTGAGAGCTAACACGCAGTTTGGAAAACACCTGTCCTTGCCAGTTGTGATATTAAAAAGTTATGCCCTAGCAGTTATGGTGTCTCCTTTTCGAAGTGGTTAGCAGGAATCTCTGTGGTGACGGGGACAAATGGTTTGCTTGCGCTCTGAATAACGTGAGTTCGTCTGTGTGTGTATGTGCGTGTTCACACAAAGCAACTATCACTGCTCTGTTTTAAACAAGCGCAAAGCAGTTATGTCTGTTCTTTACTTTTTTTTCTTTTTAAAAAAATTGCCCTTTAAATCTCAGCGCCTCCGGGATTTCTTGGGGAATTTCCGGGAAAGTCCAATAGTATTGGAGTGTTATAGCGTGAAATGAACACTAACTCTTATACCCTACGGGTTGAAATAGAAGAAAACAACCGTTATGTCCATATTAACAATTTGTCCATCTGGAACCCTGAAATATGCATTTGGAGTAGGGGGGTACCGAATAGTAATTTTCACTATTCGGCCGAATACGAATAACGGGACCAACTATTCGGCCGAACACGAATAGTGTATAACAAATTTATTTAAAAAAAAACACACACACATTCAAATGTACGCTGAATTTTTACTTCACATAAAGTAACACAGAAAAGTCATCTTCTTCTTTAGCATTCTGAGCCCTTGAGGTTTACTGCTGAACACATCACTCGTCTCCATTCATCTCTCTATGCAATTTGTGATACCACTTGTTTGCAGGTCTGGCTGGACATTATTTCTCGAACTTTTTTGTCTGCCTCGTGGTCTACGCCCATTTTTCTCTCAAGTGTACACAATTTTACTTCTCTGTCATCTGACATCCTTTCAATATGCCCCAACCATTTTAGTCTGTTAGCTCTCATGATGCCAGTGATCAATGGTGATTTAAACAGATTATGTGTTACGTTGATGCTTCTCACTCTCCATTCCCCGCTGTTAGCATCTTTGATGGGTCCAAAGATTTGTCGTAAGACTGTTTTCGAAAATTTGTAATAAAGCCTCATCTCTTTAATTTCTGCTTCAAGTTTCAGAGCCATATAAAACGACTGATCTTATCAACGTTTCATATATTTTGATCATGGTGTTGCGAGACAGACACTTTGACTTAGCAGACGTTGAAGGGCATAGTAAACTTTATATCTAGATTGTATTCTAGATTGTATTTCTTCTCTCAGCATGTTGGAGCAGTTGAAGTTTGCACACAAGTACTTATATGTTTTAGTTCGTTTGATTTTCATATTATCGATTTGGATGTGGCCGGAGTTTATATTCTTTCTATGTGTAGTTAGTATTCGTACAGAATAGTAAACATTGAAAAACATTTTATGTTTTGCATCCTTCAGTCAGTCTGTGGTAACTAATAACTAGGAATGAGAGAATCCTAAGTATTATAACAAGAAACTAAACTTGGAAATTCTCACTGACAGCTTAGTTAATGCAGGAAAGCTGCATTAGCTTTCAAC